TCTTCACAGTCCTTCCCTCCTGCCTCCATGGTGGGAGGAGGCCGCTCTGACCAGCCACCCAGCTAAAACACAAACACACAACAGCATTTCAGCACTGAAATGATACACAATTATACTTATACAGTTGTGAGCTACTAGTTGACTTCTAGGCATCTGAATCATTGAGGTTTCTGTAACACATGGCTCAAGTATTAAGGTAGTTAGGGACATCCCTGTGAGGAAGGATTAACAGACTAAATCACTGGTGATTTCAAATTAATCGTGACCTCGATTAATCGATTAATAATTTGGTTTATATAATGTCAGAAAATTGTAAAAATGCTCATCCTCGTCTGACCAACACTCCAAAGACCAAAGATACTTTCATTTACAATCATAGAAAACTAAAGAAACCAGTAAATGACCCTAACTGGTTAATTGATTATCAGAACAGCTGCCAATCAATTTTCTGTCCATTGACTTGCTGTTTATTTGACTAATACTTGCTGGTCTAATAAAGATGATTTGCTGATGTATCATTGCCCAACATGTTGGCCAAAAGCCACGGCCAATTCTGTTTACCACACATCCTGTGAATGACAAGCTGATGGTGTGACAAACTTTTTCTAGAGCCAAAAAACACAAGATGTGAAATAAATTGTGACTCGACAATTGTGTATGTTTGTACGGACTGTTATTATCCAGGGCTGCAACTAACAATCATTTCATTATTGATTAATGTGTTGTTTATAGATTTGCTTACTATCAAAGAAGACACAAATAAATACACCAATAATCTAATAGAGGAGTAGAGCTGCAAGGATGAATCGATTCATCAATTGATAGACAATTGTTTGAACAGTTGATTGATCATTTCAGTAATTTTTAAAACAAAAAATGTCAAACTTATCTAACGGTTACATCATCTCAAATGTAAGGATTTCATGCTCATCTTTATCACATGTGACTGTATGCTGTTTTTATCTGTGGGTCTTGGGCGGTTGGTTCAAATAAAATAACACATTTGTATACATCTCTTTGGGCTGTGGTAATTTATAATCGTCATTTTTTTTGACGATTTACTTACATTATATAAAGAAATAGATTAGTCGAAAAATTAATCGGTAGATTACTCAATAATAACAATAATCGTTACTTGCAAACCTAGCTGAGAGTTAAGACCCACGTTTGCATGAACTGTTACAATTATCCCCAATAATCCCCCAACAAAACCTCATCGACAGGATTCAGAACCACCGCTTGTAAACAGCGAATTTCACAACCTCTCCCACCCTCTTCGCTAATGCTAGCAAGGCACTTTGGCTGCTAGGCTAACAGGCTAGCTGTCCGCGGGACGTCGTTTTAAACGGTTGTTTGAACAGTTTGGAAACCTCCTCACACAGGTGATACTCACGGTTCAGGATATCCTGGTCGCAATGAAGAGAGAGATATACCCAGGGCATAAAGTGATTTTCCCTCACAAACAGGCCCTCAGATGTTGAGTAGCCAGAGAGGCTATCGACAAGCTAAGGCAAACTGAAGGGACCGAGTGGCTAGCTCGAGAGGCTAGCTCTGAGTCCGCTAAAAAAAAACACGACCTGTGCCTTTAGGAAAAAGACTGAGCACGGATGGCTGGACTCGTCTCACGAAATCACTCACGAATTAATATCAGCTGTGAAAAACAACAGGGATGAACTGCGCAGATGTTGAGGCCCGATTCCTGAGTTTTCTCCGTGATATCCCTTGTTTACAGTCGAAACAGTCGCAGTGACTCTGCAACAACGCGCAGCGCTGCTGACGTCACCAGCCAAAAAAACCCCACACTGACGTCACTCTCTGCCGCTCACAAAATATGAATTTATCATTATATTTCACACAGCACTTAAAACCAGACCACGGCTTATCATTATAACTTTAAATGCTTTCCACAGTGATGTTTCAGATATACTTTGTAGGCCAAGGACATTTAGTCTAAATGGGGAACAGAGTATTACGTCACTGTTATATAACAGGCATCCAGAGAGCCTTGTGCTGTGGAGAACAAAGCTTGGCACAGAAAATTAGATCCATATGAGAACTTCTCTGCTCGCAGAGGCATTTTCCTGCCAACACAGACTCTCAGAAATATAAACATAGTCTATCAACCTGCATACCATTGACAATAAACTAACAAATCAGTGGTAGGTTTGTTTTCACAGCCATTCCACACAGAAACGTTCAGATATACACACTACTAAATATACACTTGGACACACCTACACATATAGATTAATGTCCCTGCCTGTATCCCACCTCACCCTTACATGTATGCACTCACACAAGGGGTATTTTATGTTTATCACGTTTTTTTTAATGTGAAAGCTTAATCTGAAAATTTTATAAGAACAATTTATCTATCAAGCAAATGTAAAAAGTACAATATTTGCATGTAGAAATATTAAATGCATCTTATACTCTTACATCTGCTCCACCTCTGCTCTGCTTTCCTGCTCTTTTCTTCAATCCTATCATGTCAACACATCTCCATCTCCTGTCTATGGAGGTAGATTAGTCTCAATGATATCTGTGTGAACAGATTGACAATCGGTGAGTATATGTGTAATCTGTAAATATAAAACACTTGATCTAATCTGATTCTATCCTGCATCTAAGGGAAGGGCTGGCATGGGAAAATAGCAGGAAATTAAGACATTTAGGCCCAACGCCAGAACAGTAATCGGCCGTGCAGCAAGTGTGGTGGACTTCAGGCCTGGTTGTTGGTTGTTGGACTCCCACTTCAGCCGGATCTGAGCCCCGGCCGAGTCTTTGCCAGGATAATTTGTGTAACAGTATAAGAAAAGTAAACTGGGGGAAAAACAAACGCGGGGACTTTTCATATCTGTGACAGTTTCGGAAATCAGGTGAACAGAAAACGGAGCGTGCAGGGAAAACCCGGAGCAAGCGCACAGAGACCTGAGTTTACGGACTGCGCACAAAAGGGCCGATAGCGCGCCAACGTCGCTTTATATACGGGCGACAAAACGCAGGAAGGCCGCAGTGAGCCAATGAATGGCTCATCCTTTTACATCCAGTTCGCATGAAGAACTCAACTGCACTTTCTCAGCAAAGCGGTTCAGAAAATGTTCATTTCTAGATGCTTCACGTGAACAGTGCCATGTTTACCTACCAGAATGTTAAACAGGCAGCGCTGTAGTCTTTCTATTATTATGTCCAGTCCCTTTATATAAATGAAAGTAGACTAAAGAACAGAAACACCTGTGTATAATGCAACACAGCTCCAAACACTAGGCCTTCATCCTCCACAATGATCAGCCGAATCAACAATTGTCTAAAATAATTGAAATACAAACTGAACATTATAACCTTCATGAAGGAGGATTTATTACAGGTGTGTTTTATTACACTACAGCAGTTTTAGCTGGATGTTCCTAATAAATTGCCATCTGAGTGTATATTATTAATTATGAGTTGTAAGCACAGACTGCAAAGTGCCTGAATTAATTGGTGGATTTTGGTGCTGTTCTCACCTGTGAACTGATTCACCTGGGCGCCTAAAGATGCTCTTTGATTTAATAGTTTCATCATATATTATCACCATATGACATGTTTTACCCTTCTCCTTTTAAAATGTAACACGTTTACTCAGAGACATTTCAACTGACTTACTTTGTACTTTTATATGAGAACATTTTTACACAGTGGTTTTATTTCTACTGTAGATAAATGTCTTTTGGTTAGTGGCCGTTCACCTGCTTACATGCCGCAGTCAGTGTAGTGTCTCATCTCCAGTGTCTGCAGTTTCAGTTACTGGTAGAGTTTATTGCTGCTTTATCTAAACAGTTCCTGTTGTTTTCTTCACCACAGTGTCTACAGCTATTTGCTGTACATGTAAACTTACAGTAGTTCTGCTCCAGCCCTCACAGCTCCTTTTAGCAACTTTCACTGATTCAGCTGCTAATCAAATGTGCTACTTACTTTAGCTTAGCAATTGGCACTAGCTTCTCTCTCTCTCCCTCTCTCTCTCTCTCTCAGTGTGTCTTGAATCAACAGATGAACTTGTTCATCATAGTGTGGTGTTGTTGTAACTTAAGTGTAGAGGACTGTGATGTTTATTACAACTTCATGATGTCTGCTATCTTACCTTGGATACACAGCTCAGCTCCATAACCACAGCTGCTCTAGTTTGTGACTGTCTGTCTGCCTTCAGCATTAATAGGCTATTTCTCGTGACGTGTAACCAATCAGATGGTGCTGTGGGCGGGACACTGCGACACACACTTGTTTGAGTTTACTGTCAGATCTCCTGACAAGTTATTGAAAATTGCTAAAGTGCAAGGTTCTGTCACAAAACTATGTCGTTACGTATCCTTGGGCATTTTTAAGTGGTTCTACGGAAATTCTGGAGCTTTCATAGCGGGTACACAATCTATACCTTCATATCATGTGAATGTAAAAACGGGCATTAGCATTAGCAGCTAGCCTTCTGGCATTGTACATTGATGAATGAATTAAACGATTTCAACATAAGACTGCAAAATAACAAAATGTAAAAAACAACAAACAAACAAAACAAACAAACTGACAGACATACAGTGCATTTAGAAAGTATTCAAACTGAATGATCTGTCAAACAGACATCTCTTGTGTAATGTATATTATGTACACTTGTATCCATGCATGATCACTCATTTTGGATGCAGGACTTATATATTAAAACAAAGTATTTTTGAATTTAAAGTAGATCCTGACATGTGGTCATAATTGGACTCAAACACGTTAAAACTTAATGATTATGACCATTTGCTTTACAGTTACTGTTTTCCCTCTCTACATGCAAATACAAGATGAGGGGCACGAAGAGGTTGTGGACCAATCAGACGGCGCCAACTGGACGTTGCTCCCGGAATGTTCTTCCTCCGTCCAATCGGAGGAGAATGCGTGTAAGAACACGGAAACAATCGCACTTTTTGACCAATAGGGTGCCGGCGTAGTATGACGTGGCACCGGAAAGCCCGTACAATCATTACACTTTACCGGCGTCCGTAGTGTAGCGGCGGCGACTCATGAGACACACGCAGGGAACTGTTCTCCTTTAGCCGCGGTTTAAACGTACATCCAGCTGAGTTACTCCTGTCGAAATGTTGTGTTTAAGCGGGTTGTCGGTGGCGCTTGCTCTCGCTCTGGTGCCGGGTCCCGCTGAAGCCCTGAAAGAAGGAGAGTGTGAAGGTAGGTCTGACTGTTAGCTTCAGTTAGCTACGGCATCAGCTGAATGGCTGCCTCCTTTCACTACCAGCAACTTTTCAGATGTTACAATGAGGAGAAATAATCCCACGCACACCCCTGGAGGTGTGTGTGCGGTGTAGGGGCAGCTGCTGGTGGTGGGACGTGGATTTAAGGCGTAGTGTGTGGTGTATTCATGTGATGCTGACAGACTGGGAAAAGCTAACATTACCAATTTTCTGACTTTTGGCATAAAATCGTTAATGGTCACAGAGTCAGACTGAGCCGGGACTCAGACCAGTCCACCAAAACCCACCTGAAAATACACCACCACCACAAAGACCCAACCCGAGCTCTAGTTAATGTCTCTCATGTGTTGCAGTCACAGCTAAGCATCAATTGAAGATGTCAAATCTTTTAAGGTAACGTAACAGCATAGAAATACTGTTACACATCAAAGTCCTGCATTCAAAATGTTAAAATGTTAAAAAGTACATAAGCAGTAGCCTCAAAATATACTTGTATTATCAAAAGTATATGTACTCATTGTGCAAATTGGCCAATTTCAGAGTTGTGTATATTATATTATTGTTGATCGTCACTAATTAACTGATTATTTCATTAGTTGATCAACAGAAATTTAATCTGCCACTATTTTGATAATTGACTGTTTTTGGTCATTTGCTGGAACCACACCGACTGTTGTAGACCAAAGCAAAAAGGGTTTCTCAATCCACTTGGTACACAAAATAAAATGTATCTCTTGCTGCTCTCTTTTAGGCTGATGTCAAACCGAATGATGTTTTCCCTACAGTGCTTGACTCTGGAAAAAGTTGTTTACTATGTGTTTTCCTCTCTGTTCCAGTGTGTGTGACCTTCCTTGGGAGGTTTTACCAGTCACTAAAAGACAACGATGTAAAGTTCAACAGCGCAGACATTGAGAAGGCCATCATCAAGAGCTGCAAAGATGTTAAAGGCAAAGAAAACCGCTTTGTGAGTAAACTACAGACTTGGATTAGTAGTTGTAAGTTAGATTTAATTAAACTAAATTATGTGTTATTTAACAAGGTGTAAAAATGTGAAGGGAATAAATGTTTTATGGTCACCCTTGACAGTAAGTGCTGATGTGGCAGGTGTTAAACTGCTGATGCCCAAATAAAGTATGAGATTGTGTTTTTAGCAGCAGGGTGGTGTCCACAAAAAGCTGCTCTACACAGGTGAAACTTTACCTCCAGGTGATGTTATCTGATAAACCTGTTGTTTAATTTTTCCACCAAGAATAAATGTTGTCATTCAGAAAAGGTAAAAATAACAGTACTCCAAGATTTTGCTTCTATGTTCATGTGATGTGGCTAAATGTTTTTTCATCCACACACGACATGGTATGATAAGAGGCTATGACCCACATTTTTTTATTTTTTTATTACGATTTCCAGGAGGACCTGTACTAGTGGTCAAATAGTCAGTAAGAGTAGTAGTAGTATTAGCTTGGCATGCTATTTTAAGAGCAAGCATTAAATCAAAATGCAATCATACAGTGAACGGTGTACAACAGCATCAAGCAAGTGAAATGGATTTAGGCTGAATATAGCTGCATGTGAGTGAACTACACTGACACTGTGATTCGTAGATGTGCGTAAGCGCTGGATGAACTTGTCAGACGACTTTCTCTTCAGGGCATCAAAGGTTTAGTTTGTCACAAATATCTTTCTCACATCTCTGGCAGATAAATGTTCGGGGAGCAGTAGATCCTAAAGATAGCTTTCTGACCATTTGAAAAAAAGATGCTTGCTGCGGGTGAATAACCTACATATCCTGGAAATGTAGTGAGAGAAATGCTCTTCACGGTGGTCTTCCTCCATCACTGGTAGCTGCACGGGTCATCGGTAGAGCAGAAATCACTGTATGTATTGTTGAATGGTTGAATGTTGGTCTCACTCCTGCAGAGTAGACGTTTCACACACGCTGAGCCAGTTTCACTCAGGCTTAGTTGAACCTAAACACTTGTGCTGACTCCCACTCCATCTACAAAAATCCAAACATGCAGCTTTTGCCTGCAGGGCTTCGCTGGTTGTTCTGTCTCTTGTGCAAATATAGCAAAGCTTGAAGCGGCTACAGTATAATCAATACGGATATATTAACAATAGATCACATGACCACTTGTACTTGAAAGACGTCGCTGATGTTTTATGGATATTTTGGTTTTAAAGCTTTAATTTACGGAGGCATCTGGTTTTACACATGGATCCATCTAATTGTGCAGTGGACTGGATTTTTGGATTGCTCTGGTTTTCGTTGCCTCCCCTCACTCTTCTTCTGCAGATCAAGCTGGTGTAGGTCTGCCTCTTTCACACCCTAACCTGTCTGGTTAACGCTTGTCAAGCTGATAGATAGTCAGTCAGGAAGTGAGAAGGAGTCAGTGTGGGCTGTGTTCACTTCCCCCCCATAAAAAGTGAATGAAACATAGCAAGCACACATGTAACTGTCCTACTATTATACTGTATCAAGGATAAAATTCTTTGTCTCTTTATCACTGTTTATAAGAACACCCAGCTAAAACTAATGCAGCCTAATCCAACAGTCCTGCAGTAAATCCTCCTTCATGGTGGTTTATAATGTTCAGAGGTGTTGACTCACCTGTGTGATAATGTTCAAAATATGCTGCATCTTACTAAGAGGCGTTTCTAATATTATGTCCAACCCATTTATATCAAGGAATGTTGAGTGAATGACGCAGATTGATAAATAAAAGATGGCTTCCTAAACGGTTCACAGTCAAGCGACTGATTTCATAGAAGTTTAGCTTTTGGAATCTAACGTCATAAAAATCCAGAGACCCTGTTTTTCAATCCAGTCGAGTCTGGATCTGGGTGTTCGGCTTTCACACCCGCCGAGTGAACCGGACTAAAATGGCAAACGCACCAGAGTGTGTTGTGTTGAACCAAACAGGTGAGGTGTGAAAGCAGCGGACGTCTCACGCTGTGAAGCAGAAGGCCACTGAGATACATTCTTAACTCTGTAAAACAAGATCTCTTTTTTTTTTTTCTTGTTCCACATGTGCAGTGTTACTACATCGGGGCAACAAGTGACGCAGCCACCAAGATGATCAACGAGGTTTCCAAACCGCTGAGCTACCACGTCCCGGTGGAGAAGATCTGTGAGAAACTGAAGAAGAAGGACAGTCAGATCTGTGAACTGAAATACGGTAAGAATCCTTTAAAAACACTTCCCTAAACACTAAGCTCCAGCTACACAAACTCTCTGTCAGATCAAATATTAAACGTCCTGAATAAACCTCCAGTTTGGGTGAATGCGGCTCGTTTTGTTCCATGATTTGACGCAGAGAGCTGCAAAACAAACGAATCTGTGCTGGAGGAATGATCAAAGTTTAATTACTGCAGAGATTTTTGCTTGTGGCAAACTTAAATCATCTCCACTTCAAAGCTGTATTCTGTCTGTATCTGTGAGCTTGTCAGGAACTCCGAAAATTCAACTTTAGCTGAGAAGCTTTAATAAGCTCGTAGCGGTCAGTGCACAACTCCATCTCCTGCAGCTGCTAACAGCCTCCGACTCCTCTGGAGTTTCATTAAATATTGGTCGAGACAGGAGTCATTTCCTGAGTCTAAGCACATTAAATGATTTTACTCTGAGCGTCTTTGGCTGGGGAGAAACTACAGGGATAACTTAGAAATCTACAAGAGACCGTGTCCTTGTGGTGATTGTCTCTCTCTCTTGTGTGTCGCACGTAGACAAACAACTGGACCTGACCACAGTGGACCTCAAGAAGCTCAAAGTGAAGGACCTGAAGAAGATTCTGGAGGAGTGGGGCGAGTCCTGTAAAGGATGCGCCGAAAAGTCCGACTTCATCCGCAAAATCACAGAGCTCATGCCCAAGTACGCCCCCGCAGCCGCCAAGGCACGGACAGAACTGTAACTGTACAAACACAAAACACAACAACAACAACAACAACAACAACAACACAAACAACTCTGGACTTGACTCGGACCAGACTGGTATCCAGTGAGGAGGACCAGGAGCGGAGGAGGGGAGTTTAGTCTGATATGTTTGTTTATTTTATTTTATTTTATTTTTTGAGGGTATACACTCATCAGGTAATTCAGAAGCATAGATGTTAGTGTATACACATAAGGCTGAAGTCCCATACTATACTTTGTGTGAAGGGATGAACAGTGTTTTGCTGTCATGGGATGCAACGTTGAGAATTAATTCATAACACAGGAGCACAGATTACAGGGGGGGATTGGTGGAACGGTTGGAGGTTTTCTGCTCATGTAGTCGATACGTTTCACAGCACGAGGTTTAGATACGTGGCTGTATTCTCCATCAGTGTCAGCATCCTCAAATTGGAGGTGAGAGTTTCTGCTCGAATGCACCCCAGCAAGAACGTGTTTGTTGTCCGCTGTGCTGCCCAGGATCTCCCACTCGATCCAGGATTCGAATCGGTTGAGAAAACCCGCCTCTCCCAGCGCCACCCTGACACCCAATAGGATCTTAATACCAGGATTGCTGTTTGGAAAAGTCGTCATGTTTTGATGAATGTGTTAGGCCTCCTGTAATATTGCTCAACTTAACTTCAGTTTCCATGACGTCCTGTGGAGGAGGGTGAGCGCCGCGTCCCACCCATACCGAGACTTAAAGGAATAGTTTGACATTTTGGGGAATGGACTTATTTACTCTCCTCCTGAGAGTTAGATGAGAAGATCCCTCGCGCTCTCGTGTCTGTTCGTTAAATGTGGGTTAGTTTAGCTTAGCATAAAGATTGTTTCAGTCTGAAGGTAACAAAATCCACCTTTTTAAAACTCATTAATTAACAGGTTTTGGACCAAAAACGTGCAGTGAATGAGCAAACTTCCCACAATGTCAAACCTTTGCTTCAAGGCCTGAGTTAATGTCTGATTGAGACATTCAGATCTCCAATACTTTCCCCCTTTATTACCTCCACTGAAGTCTCTTTGTTTCAGTTTACTGTTTCCAAAGTCGCCCATATTCCAACCCAGAGTCATAGTCAAACAAAAGTGCAGTTATTAAAAAAAGTGAAAACAACTTGTTTTTTTTTGTTTGTTTGTTTGTTTTTCTCTTATTTGTGCCATTTGTTTGACTGACAGCACTTTATGGCCTCGTCAGTAATTCACAATGACTTCAACTTCATTTTTATGGAAATGGCCCTGAATATTCAACACTGCAATTATTCTTCTTATTATTATTTTTTTAACCAGAAATAGCAAATAATCTGCTTCTGTTCACAGTCAGCAGAGACAATGTAGTGAGAGAAACATTAATTTAGTCAATTTGTGGGGAAATAATAGACTTGTTCAGGGTGTAGATTAAAGTGGATTAAAGAGGCAACAAGAAAGGACCAGTGGACATTTAAACCACAGAGGACGTGGAGTATGGGTGACTTTGTTGGTGTTTGACACGGGGACGTACACCAGAGTTTCCACTGTCAGCAAAGTAAGAAATATTTAAAGAGGATTTTTGTTAAAGATTAACCTTCTACATCCTTCATTTCTAAAACTTGATTGTTGGTTTCCTGCTTTGTTTTTTTTTTTTTGGGGGGGGGGGGTGGGGGGGCGGTTTAATTTCACTGATTTCATTACAGATGTTTTCTGTACTGCAGCTATTAAGTGTAGTGAACATTGTAACTCATGAAATACTTTACCCCTCAGCCCCTCCTGTTGGGATCACCTGTAGTATATGATCCAATCAGGAATTGGATCATAGGATTGTTGAAATTTAAAATAAATTTAAAAAAAAATGTGTTTGTGGGTGAAGCAATGTTTAAGATTTGATCCCACTCACCTACACCTATGTCACCAATTCAGCTGTGCAAAAATATTTATGCTTCCTGAACACGGGGAAACAACTATATACTGTATATTTTTCTTTCACTTGTTGCAGTGAAAGTGAAGCGGCCTCCCATCACTGGCTCTCCCACACCCCTGGACTTGTCTTTCAGAAGGGATCGATATTTTATTGTTTGATGTAAGCGAATGGCAGGTACTTAGGAAAATGACTTGATAAAAAAAAGATACTTGATAAGACTTGATGTGGGAAATGAAAACTTAAAATATGCTGTTGTTTCACGTTTGACCTTTCATGTAAGGCCCAGTCATTTGTTACAACTGTACTATTCTACTTTTTCATTAAAATATGAAAAACTCCATCTGGAGCAGAGGATGCTTTGATTTCCTGACACATTTCAGTTGTGTGGCAAGAGTTCATTTCAAATAGTTTAAACACTAATATATGAAGGGAACATCTGGCATTTAAATTGTGCAGTCATATACTGTATTATAATGGTTTAAATATACATATATAAACCTGATGTGCCTGTAGGAATACAGTATGTAAATAAAAAAAAAAACTCAAATAGAAGCGATATGACATTAAATGTTTGCCATGTTTTAATGGGCCACAAACTTACAAACCATGGCGACCATTACAGAACAATGATAATATGGAACTTACAAATAGATCTTAAATGTTAGTTATAAAATTTCCCGAAGGAGTGTGGTGCTGTGGCACCAAAGTGGATCAGACAATAAACTGGACTATAAATGGAATATTTCATTAGTCATATAATCTAGATGTGAGTGAATGCAGACCTGTAACAAAGACCGAGAAAAAATATTGTCCAAATATTATGAAAATAAAACAAATTGTGTACAGAAGAAAAGCTGTTCTTGGCCTGAAAACTCTAATATGTCCAGTGGTGGAAAGTAACTAAGTACATCTACTCAAGTACCATACTTAAGTACAATTATGACATACTTGTACTTATTTTATTTTATACTTCTATACCACAACATTTCAGCGAAAAATGCACTTTTCACTACACTACATTTATGTGACTAGTTACTTTATGAATTCATATTTTTCATATATCATATATTTAACTATAATTTATTATTGCAGATAATATGTCTTTAATTTTACTTAAGTAACTTTTTGTAGGCAGATCTTTTACTTGTAGTATTTTTTTTATTTTATTTAGTAGAATATTTTTAAATTGTAGTTTTGCTTCTTCTACTTCAGTGAATGATCTCAGTACTTTCACCATTGAATATCTCTGAATTTAAATGACATTAAAACTGCATATTCAGCTTGAACAGTAAATGAATCCATAAAACCAACATAAAACCACCCTCATTAACACCATCTATTTACTTTGAAACATTTTTTTCTCTTTATATCCTATTGTTTTCCCAACTTCATTTGTTTCATACAAAGTTAACATAACCATGAAGGACAAACAAGAAAAAAGGTGAATTGATTTTTAAGGTATTTTAGACAGTAATAGTCCTGATGCCTTTTTTTCCCCCTTTATGTTTGTCCATATAATTCTTCAAAGTAATGTCTCATTTTGCCATATGGATATAAAACTAGGCATTTAAAATAAGATTTAAAATAAATCATGTTTATTTTATTAAAAAAAACAAACATTTTAATTTAATCCTGGTCACGCAGCATTTAAAGTACATGTTTCACAACTAAATTGGTAATGAGAAATATTTACATATTTATAAAACAAATGTAAAATTGTTTCTGTTCATCTTAAAATGTATTGGTGCCCAAAACAAAAGCGTGACACGTCATGACGGCCGCCGGAGTCGCGTCACCTCAGTCCCCGCCCTCCACAGGGAAAGCGCACATTCCTATTGTCCAAGATGGCGGCGTTGGTGCAGGTCCTCTGATGCTGACATGTTTTTAAACGAGTTTATCCCTTTTTTTCGACATATATGCAAATACTCAGCGTTTGGAGCGGGAGCGTTTCTTCACCGAAGCTGTCGTCTGCTACGTTATTTTTGCTAACACCGCAGAAATTCGCTCCCCGGGCCGGATTCCCGTTGCAGGCACCGAAAAGTTTGAGCTCCATCATCCTTTGAAAATGAAGAGGCAGGCCGGGAGAGAGACTAGTCCGTCCAGGGCCATCGCCAAACGGATACGGGAGAGGGAGCGAGAGAGTGCGCGGAGGGAGGAGCTGCCGCCGCCGCCGCCGCTGGCTCTGTTGCTGGCGGACAGCCGGGGATATCACCGACGGAGCCGAAGCAGGGAGCGAGAGAAGCCGCGGCTCAGGGAGGAGCGGGCGGCCGCCTTGGAGCTCCACCACCGACATGAGCTCAGCCTCCTCGGTCGTCCGCCGCTACGGACAACGGCTGCGGCGGCGGCGGCGGAGCTCCCTGCCGCCAGGCCGGGCACACTGGAGTACAAAACACTGCTCATCAGCAACCTCGGCTCGCAGGTCTCGGACGAGGACGTGGAGGACGCGCTGTTTCATGAGTTCAAAAAGTTCGGGGACGTCAGCGTGAAGCTGTCGCACACCCCGGAGCTGGGCCGGATCGCCTACGTGAATTTTCGGCACCCGGAGGACGCCAAGGAGGCCAGGCACGCCAAATCCTCCAGGTTAGTGCTGGGCGATCGACAGCTCAAAATCGAACCCATGTACGTTAGGAGGCGGAGTGTCACGCCGCCAGACGTTGGTTATTTACCTCTGCACGCGCCGTACCCCTACAGACAGCGCTCCCTCTCCCCGCCGGGGCCAGGTGTGAGCAACATCAGAGACATCAGAGCGAGACATTACGCCTTGGAGACCCTGGGTCTGAGCAGAGAGAGGGAGAGGCTGTTGGATTATTATGGTATGCTGGATGAGAGGGGTCGGCCCTATGGCTTCCCTCCGATGCCAGTGGTGGAGGATTTAAAACCCGAGGATGATCAGAGGGCGACCAGTAACCTGTTTATTGGGAATCTGGATGGTAATGTTACAGAAGCAGAACTGAGGAGGGGCTTTGACAAGTATGGGATCATTGAGGATGTTGTGATTAAACGCCCAGCTCGTGGACAGGGTGGGGCATATGCTTTTGTGAAGTTTCAGAACCTGGACATGGCCCACCGGGCCAAAGTGGCCATGCAGGGACGGCTGATCGGTGGCAACCCGATAAAGATTGGCTATGGGAAAGCCAACCCTACCACGCGGCTTTGGGTGGGGGGTCTTGGGCCTGGGAACTCCCTCGCTGCTCTCGCTCGGGAGTTTGACCGGTTTGGAAGCATAAGGAATATCGACTACGTGAAGGGGGACAGTTTTGCTTACATTCAATATGAAAGTCTGGACGCTGCACAAGCCGCCTGCACCCAGATGAGGGGTTTTCCTTTAGGTGGCCCAGAGCGGCGACTGAGGGTGGACTTTGCTAAAGTTGAGGAAAGCCCCTCTCGGCCATTTCCACCTGGCTACCAGCCTCCTGTCGCACTCCCTTCCCACTACGACCTCCTCGGGGAGGCCTACAGCCGCCATCGCAGCTTGGAACGAGAGCTGAGGGGAGCCAGGGACCGCTCATCGCCGCCCTCCCACGGCGTCCTCTCCCAGAGGGAAAGAGAAAGGGCCGTGCTGGAGAGAGACTACCCCACTAGCCCAACCCGTAGCCTGGAGAGGAGAGCTGGAGGGGTGGAGGCGTTCGGGAGGAGTGGGAGAGCGGCGAGGAGCCGCAGCAGGAGCAGGGAGCGGTGGCTGAAGGAGAGGGAGGAGAGGAGGAACAGGAGGAGGAGCCGGAGCAGGAGTCTGTCCGCTGATAGGCAGACAGAGGAGAGGGAGAGAGAGAGGGAGAAGGAGAGGGGGAGGTCGAGGGTTCGGGCTCCGGCTCCGGGAGGGGTCGTCTCTCCTGACGTGAGCCCCGACCGAGCGCGGGTCCGAGCCCCCGACTCCACCACCGAGCCAAGAGACCACTCCCCTGACAGCGGTGTAGCTGGACGCCACTCTGCCACCAATGAAGAAGATCCACTGCCTGGCCGCCACCACAGCAAGAGGTCCTCCAGCGTGCACCTCAACAACCATCACCATCGAAACAGTGAGGTTATCGCCGCCAGCTCCCCCGCCATCCACACGGACACGCACACCTCCTCCCCTCCGAGCACGCTGTCGGAGTTCGCCCAGGCGTCTCTCTCCAAAACGTGGCACGGCTTCTTCGCTCTGAAGAACAGCAGCTTCCCCACAGACCTGTACATGCTGGAGGGGGGGCCCTCGTTCTTCAACACGGTGATGAAGGACACTCTGAAGCTGCAGAGCCAGAACCAACCCAGCCAGCTGAAGATCGCCCAGCGGCTCCGCATGGACCAGACCCGCCTCGACGAGGTGTCCCGTCGCATTAAACTGGGGCGGCCCAACGGGTTCGCCATCCTGTTGGCTCTTCAGGGCCCCATCGACCGCCAGGCCCCCGCTCCCGAGCCGGGACTGCAGGTGCGCTTGCTCCGCCACCTGGTGACCTATCTGCGGAACAAGGAGGCAGCGGGAGTGGTGAGCCTCCCCGCTGCGAAAGAGGGCGGGCCTGGGGCGATGCTGTACGCCTTCCCCCCTGGAGACTTCTCGCAACAGTACCTGCAGGCCGCCAAAAGGACTGTGGGTAATCTGGACGAGGAGCACATGGTGATTGTGATCGTCACGGATACTAACTGATTATTACACTGAAGAGTACACACATGTACAGACGCTTGTGAAGGCATGCACACACACCGAGCGAGACTCGCCCGGTGACTACAGATACTTCCATGTTTTTAGAAAGATGCATTTTATTGTTTTATTCAGTGTCTTATAAATGAAACACAGCAAATTACACTACATCCCTTTTACTCTCTCTTCCTCTTTTATTACTTTACGTTTCCCTTTCTCAGAAGCTGAATTATTGTCACGTTCATAGGCAGATAAGATCTTGAGATTTGGGTTTCGGGGGGGGGGGGGCGTGGGGTGAAAGTGTTAAAATGGCCTGTAATGAAAAACACTTAAAGGAGAGAGGACGTGCTGCACACACAGGCAGCACTGCCGCTGTTGTACTCTAAGCTGTAACATACGACACTAAAAAACCGAGAGGGTTTGTTTATATGCTCGTTTACTTTATTTGTCTTTTTTGTTCTCCTTTTTTATTTGGATTTACCAGGTTGTTCTGTTCATCCGATACAAGTTGGGACTAGGACGTTTTATACAAAGTGATTGTACTGTAAACTGAATTGGAGCTCGGCGCAGCGCCGGGCCGAGTCCTGGCTCGGGCTCCTTCCAGTTTGTCTTTCTCCACTCGCAGGTTGAGACTGTTGTGAAGCGCCAGCCAGCTACGGCCAGTAGAGACAACAATGTATTTCCTCGACCCGTCCCCCCCCCCTGACTAAATACTTCACGTAGCTAGTGTTTTGAATCAGTTGAACCATTCCAGTTTCTTCTTTCATTTTCGAAAGGTGTGAGTGTGTCTCGGTCTGTCGTTGCATGCAGAAAAAAGAAGAAAAAAAAAAAAGGTTCTCTTTTGTCCGTCTCTAAAATGTACGCTTCCCTTTTCAGTACACTGTTGTCACTCGGGACATGTTCCGCTGTTACACTGGTGCGAGGTCTGATGTTGTCGCTGGTTCAGGTTTTATACTGTACACCGACTTTTATTCAGTTTTAATACATCGATCCATCCATCTCTAAGTCCATCCATCCTCCTCTTGTCTTTTCATCTGCCTTTAAAAGATGTCTTCATCATCAGATCATTTTAGCTCTGTTTCTATTCGTCGTCTCTTAACGCGAACGTCATTCACAGGCAGTTTTCAGAAAGACAGTTACAAGTTTTTAGTGAAATTCACCTTAAGCGTTAAATATCTTTTAACACTAATTCTAACTTCTTTTAACCGAACTCGCCCTGATTTAAACTTCTAACATCCATGTCAAGTCAACTTTTTTGCCAAGAGGATATTTTAGTAAAACAACACAGATTCAAAGTATGTTTTTCCCACCCAGATGATACTGAATAAAAATATTAGAGGTTAGAGAATAAAAAAAAAAAAGTGGATATTCTTCTGCACACCTTCGACGGGGGCCAGAGACTTTTTCTTTTGTCAGAGTGTTATTGCTGTGTGAAACTTGGGAGCCATGAAAACGTATAGATGTTCATTTTTTTTTATCCCTGACAACATCGTCGCACGTTTGTTGTCGGACGGTTTGTTTTGCACCAACGTAACGAGAATGTATGTAGTTCACGTAGAAGAGGTGAGATGTGTTGAAACCTCGTGTAGCCTGGGTGGTAGATCGACAACTCTCATCACACGCCGTCGACCACGTTTACTCCAGTTACTGTTTTACAAAGGCCAGAAAAAGGTCGATGAGGGAGAGAGAGAGAGAGAGAATGTGTCATGTTCTGTTAAAACTCCCCGAGCTCAGGTTTTAACAGCGGGTGTAATCGTATCTTTCAGACTGAGCAGGAAACAACTGTTTGTCAGCTGTGAGTTCAGTGAATTACAGAAGTATACTCCCACTATTTGTTTACAGCACAAACAGGTAAATGTGACTCACAGGACAAGCTGATAAATGTTAAAACCACATGCAGATTTGTTCCTAAGATGTAAAAATACTTAATTTGGGTGAATATCTGCAACTAATGATTATTTTCATTACTGATTAATCTGATGATCATTTTATCAATTAGTCTGTTAATTGTTTGGTCTTTAAATGTTTTTTCTGGCCTTAAATCCAGTGTTCAGTTCACTGTCACATGGGACGGTGGAAAACAGCTGATTTGTTGACTGGAGAAGCTGGAACTAGGAATTTTTTGGTATTTCTTGCAGGAAAAACTTTCAATAGTTAATCAATTATCCAAATAGCTGCCGATTATTCTTCTGATGATCGTGTAATCGATTAATCAACAGATCATTTAAGCCCCAGAAAAGACTGTTTTCCTAAAATATTACACACCTGAAATACAGAAAATGTATTAAGTAAAAAATAGAAGTAATATCATTTACCTGTACACAAGTAGAACTGTGTTGATGCTGCTGCTGTGTTACATGGACGTCCCACTTTGGAACAACAGTTTTTCATTCTTTTATTCTGTTTTATCAAAGAAATTAATTCCACGTCTGCTGTCTGTTTGAGTTACAGTGTCTGGTTCTCAGCAGGATGTACTGTAAATTATGTGGCAGTAATTACCAGTGGTGGAAACTAACTCAGTTTATTTACTTCAAAGTGGCGATCTCGAAGATTTTTCACGTAAATAAGTGTCTTTTAAGTCGCTGTCTGTCGCTGGCGGAGGTGACACTGGTGACTGAGCCCGTGATCCACTTACATACATTGTGTAGAAGTCATTGCATTTCCCAGTTTGTTTCTGATATGGCAGAATCACACGTGATTCAAAAACAAACCTGCAATTACCACGTATGGCCATAGGTGTCGCCAAAGATAACAAAGCTTTGATCATCGAGATCGCTACTTGAAGTACTAATGTATATGTCTTTGGTTTGCATACTTTATTTAATTGTTTCCATTTCTGCTCCTATAAACTTCTTACACTAAAGTTCAGATGGAAATATTCTACTTTTTACTTCACTACATGTATTTGACAGCTGTTGTCGCTTGTATATTTTGCAGGTTATGTATCATACAAAATGTGTGATCTTCTAAAACATGCAAAAAAAAATCTCCATCTTATCAAGTAATTTTAGAATGACGTAGTCATTTTTAATTTTTTTTTCTTAAAAAAACGTGAGAAACATTTTCTATCACAGTGAGAATATTTCAACCTATATTCAGTGTAAATCAAAAATTTGCTGTACAGCAGTTCCCCTCACTTTCTTTTGTCTCAGGACACAGACACTCTCTTCCAGAAGAGTTTAAACAAGTTGATTTAAATTAAAACAAGTTGAAATGTTGTCACGAAACTACAAAATGATAGACAAAATTGCTCTCATAAGATTCACGTTTTTGCTACAGACTAAACTTAAAAAAGTTGGTAAAACCAGCAACAACACAATAACTGCCCACACCTTAATGCATCAGTGCTAATAATAAGCCATTCAGCAAAGGAAGTACTTTATGTTTTGTTGCTTTACTTACATTTTGCTCTTAATATTTCTCTGCTTTTACTTGCAATGGAGTATTCATTCATTGTTTGGATCTGAGCGCTTCTTCCATCACTGGTAACGACTGATTTCACATGTGGCTTGACAAGATTTCTCACCCTACTGTCTTAAATGTCATGATTATTACACTATAGCTGGACTTCACCTTTCTTTTTTTGTCACTGTCACACACGCTGCATCGTCTGTCGTTCTCACTTTTGTAGCCTCGTAGCTGTTGGTCGGAAAGTTGCTCAACCCAGCGGTTTGTGCATGTTGGGCTTGAATGCATTAGATGAAGGAAATTAAAAGGAAAACGACTGTGTGAGGGTGAAACTGTGCAGGAGATCGGCCAGTTGTTTCTTCAGGGAAGCTTCTCCTTCTCCTCCTAAAGAGGCTTCTGGAAAAAATTTAGTCATGTGACTGTTGCTGAATGTTCATCACCACATCGATCATATAAATATACCAGTTTTGTACAATATACCAGTAAAGAAAATAAAGAAGTGAAACTTTACTTTTTCTATCAGCTGCCCTTGATGAATGATCAGTTGTGAATAGACTTCCTTATCACCCCCCCCATCTCATCTGAACTTGTGGTGTACTGTGTTCTCACCGATGCGTTACACAGACCGGGTGGAATACAAATCCATGACGACAATCGGTTTTTGTACACAGTTTCCCTCTTTGGTTTTGTTTTTGTGTCAACATACAAACATGTATTCTGCATTAAAAAAAAAAATGTAATAAACATTTTATGCTCTTTGTAAGACTGGATGGAGTGATGTCATTTTTCTGGGTTTCATACCGTACAGTCAGTTATTATATTCACCATACAGCTCATTTTAATTGTGTGTTTAATGCTGTGCATCACATATACTCATATATACTTCCTAAACTGGGGGAAATAAACCCTCCAAATTACTGTAAAGTGGCAACAACATCCAAGCAATTTTTAACTGGGAGATCATATACAAAAATATTTTTCACAAGAGCATATTACTGGATATTGTAAATTCGCCTGTATATGTTAAATAACTCCCTACAGGGATCTAACATTAATTTCCTGCCAGACAGTTAATGCACCATGAAATTGGATCATGTGTGCACATGTTTTGGGATTCCCTTTAATTCTTTGAGATCATTTCAAGACTGTGGGGGCTTCATACCCATTATAAGTGAAAACCCTGTATTCAAGATCCTATTTTAGTAAAAGTACATAAGTGTTTTAAGTTAAATGTATTTAAAGTATGAAAGTAAAAATATTTGTTTAGCAGTAAAGGGAACTTTTATGTCTCTATGAGATCACTGGATAAATCTGAGGAGGTCATGAGATGATAAATGGGAGAAAAGGAGGAGAAAAAAAAAGTTGGACACAATGTAAATCAACATACACCAGACTTCATAGAAAAAAATCCAAATTCATGGTAAATTATTCGGATCTGTCCCAAAATGTACCGGGTCCTTCTCTGTCCCATGACCCTTCCCTCCACCAAGTTCGGTTCAAATCGGTTCTGTACTTTTTGTGTAATCCTGCTGACAAACAAACCAATTAACAAGACACAGGTGAAAACATGGCTTCCTTCGCACAGGTAAAAGGTAGGTGTGTCCAGCAGTCAGAGGAAGTCGCTTTCTCAGGTCGCTGGAGAAGAAACTGTGACGTGAACCATCAAGTTAGACAGTTATCATCTGTCTACTTAACGTAGAAAGTTAACATTTTAATGAAACAACCGGGAGACTTGGCTTGTCTGTGTTTGTCGGTGCTGCTAACATTAGCTGTGATGTTTTTGTCAGACAAGCTAGCAGCGATGGAGCTCGCGGGTAATTCATCTCCGTGACCGGAA